ATTATTATGTTGGTGCCATAGCCATCTGAGAAGAATATTTCAAGTAAATTTAGTACATAGTATTTTACATGTGTATCCCTGGTGGGATACAATATTAGACCAGAAAGAAACACTCGGAAATTATAAATTGCTTTCAACAGTGTTATTGTCATTACTAATTATTAGTATGGTTATTTTGAAACCTGTAAGTATATATGTAGAATCTTGTATTTATTAGTAAGAAACAAGTTAATGTTATTACAATCTGAGATTTATCACTGTAAGAGAAAGATGGAAATACAAAATCACAGAATTTATGTCAAACACTGTAATGTTAGCTGGAGTTGGTGAATTTATGGTGTATACTTTTCGGGAAGAGAGAACAGATTTCTTAAAGCTGTCTAAGGGAAAGAATAGAAGCAGTGTTAATCCAGTGGCATAGATAGTGGCATAGAATCCTAGAACATAGATTGTAGCCTGTAAATGTTGTTTCCTGCTGGTTGGCTCCAGAGTTGAGACAAGAGATACTCAAGATAAAATGGAGAGATCTCTTTGTGTCAGAAGGAAGAGAAGGTGGGAGTCTATGGAAAGGATACAGGAATCAATTTGAAGGAGCTCCTACTTGGCTAATGATGGGACAGTTTGAGCATCAGAATAAAACTGCACTGATTAAAACACATCACACAAGCTAGAATTCCTGAGAACATAATGATTCCCCTCCTAAGAAGAGTAAGTTATGATTTAAATTCTATTAATATCTGTATATTACCTTATTTAAAGTATCTTTGATTACTTTAGTTGTCTTTAGAGTTATTTTCTTCTGTTTGGCCATCCGTGTGTACCTGCATTTCACTTGATATATACAGAATTGTTTATTACCCCTGAAATCATTAGATGGATTTTTCAAATTTTTTTTAGAATGGAAGGCAGTGCTGCTGATCGAAATGTTCGGAAGGATTTTGATCCTAGGTTTATAGAGGTGCCTTCTTCAGTGGAAATAGTCATAATTTTAGCTCTGTGGCTTTTAAGTCAAAACTGCTTTATCTTACTTGGAAAGTGGACTGTGAAATGTCATGTGTGGAAGTTAAAAAGGACCGTTCCGTGGATTTTCACTTCTGAGGTTCATCATGTCCACAATAAAACCTCATTATTATTAGCAGGACCATAATTGTACCATTGGTCAAACATGAAAACTAGGATTAATTCCAGACTTTTTCACCTTTGGTTAACTGTTCAATTGGTTTTCTAAATCTTATCAGTTCTGTTTTTTAAATTTTCTCTTGATTCTGTTTCACAATCCCTGCTCCAAGTCTCATAATAGCATTTTGGTACATAATTTTTCAGAAACAACCTCATCTTCCATAGCTATGGTTCCTAACCTTTTTGAATACAAAGATTCCATTTTAGTCCTGAAATATTTGTGGGTCCTTTATACAATAGTAACTGTCTTTATATATAAAGAAAATGCATACTGACGGCTGGTTTGTACTGAATGATAGATTTAAGTGAATTTATACTTTGAAAATCATAACGATCTAAATGGGTGATGATTACTCCTTTTCTGCACACACTTCTATAATCTTTGGAGTTAATAATTTTTTTGGTGTAATTTTTTATATGCACTACTTTCTTTGCCAGTAGTTTCTGCTCAATACATTCAGATGCTTTGACCCATCAGGTATTTTATTACTTTAATTTTCTTGATGAAGTCTCTTCCAGAGCTGTCCTCACTCCCCGGCCTTCCTCTTCTGCCCCAGGCTTGTAGCTGCTTCTTGTTCCCGGTATTCCGAAATTTTACAATGATGTGCCTTGATGTCAGTTGATTTTAATTTATTGTACTAGGCACTACTGGGGTCTCCTAGTCTGGAAACTCTTTTAGAGCCTTTCAAGATAATACACTATCTTCCCTGGGGAGAGAGATGGTCAGTTGCCCAGATGTGCAGATTTGGGAATATTGGGCAATCTGTTCCATAAATAGACTTTCAGTCAGTCTTAGTTTTAGCTTTTTCTATACTCTATTTTCCAAAGGAGATTCTGCTAATTTCTGTGGGTTTTGATGAGAGGTAGCAAGAAGATAGATGGTGTAAATTAAGTTGCTTCTCCACTCTGTCCATTGCAACCTTAGGTTTTTAGCTCTTTGTGACCTGATAAGTCACTTACTTTTTTAATTTCTTCTTTGTGTCTTCCAGTGTTCATCTCTCATCCTGTGGTCCTTTTACAATTATGCCCCCTCCCTTTAAAATCCTTGTACTGTAATTATAGCAGAGTATCAGGAGGGAATGAAGTTAAATGTTTGTCTAACATCAGCAAATGATTTATTTTCCATTCATAGCTAAAGTAGAGACTTGGTGGTAGCATCTACCTCTGAGATTCTCTCAGTTTACTAGTTTATCTACATATTTCCCCATCTTATTCCAAATCTCTCTCTTTTTTAAAAATTTTTTTTTCAACGTTTTTATTTATTTTTGGGACAGAGAGAGACAGAGCATGAACGGGGGAGGGGCAGAGAGAGAGGGAGACACAGAATCGGAAACAGGCTCCAGGCTCTGAGCCATCAGCCCAGAGCCCGACGCGGGGCTCGAACTCACGGACCGCGAGATCGTGACCTGGCTGAAGTCGGATGCTTAACCGACCGCGCCACCCAGGCGCCCCATCTCTCTTTTTTTAAATACACTTTATTGTGGTTAGATTGAATTATCTTCAGAATTTCATCTCTGGTTGCTTTTAATCAGGAGCTATGATATCTTTTATCCTATATCTCTTAGTAGATAGAATATTGCTTGGCCCACAGAGTTTTTGTATTTTTAAACTTTTCTTTGGACATTCCCTTTACTTCTTGCTCAAAATTAGAGCATCCATGGGTATTATTTGCTTATCCTGACAATGTTTCAAAATGCATGGAGATATATTTGATTGTGATCGTGTTTGGAGTATGCTCTTGGCAGATAATGAACAGAAACCAGAGATGCTAAAAGCCCATCAATGCATGAAGTAGTCCTGAACAGTAAATCCTTATCCCACTCAGAATGTCAGTCATCACGCTTGAGAAATAATGCTACAAGTTTTAAGGGCAGCTTGGCTCTGCCTTGAGTCTAGTACCTGCCCACAAACCTCTTAAATGGTGTCTGGTTTCATTCTTACCTCTCCAGCAGTGGTGCTATAAGCATGGGAGATTCCTTCTTGGTCCTCATTGCTGCTTCCTGACTATTGCCCTTCGTGCTCCCTAAAAAATATAACAAAAATAAACAAACAAAAAATCTCACTCTACTTTGAATTTCATGCTACCTATCTTTGTTATAGAGGGAACCCATTTCACTCACACTTCAAAATTTTCACCTGTAACAATCAGTGTTGATGATTGGTAACTTACATAATTATATTATAAATGAAATAAGATTATTTCTCACTTAATAAATATACAGTATGTATGCAACAAGCCTTTTTTGTCTAATTTATTGATCAACTTGGAAGGTGGATTCACCTTTGGAGAGTGAGTATAGTTTTCATTAACTTCCCTTTTCTCGCTTAAAAGCCAATACTTTTAAAAATAATTAACATACATTATTTAGGTATGTAATATAATGATCTAGTAGTTCTGCACATGACTCTGTTCTCAGCGTGAAAAGTGTACTCTTAATCCCCTTCACTCTATATCACACACCTTCCCACCTACCACCTCTGGTAACCACCAGTTCTCTGTATTTAAGACTGTTTTTTTGGCTTGTCTCTTTTTTTCTTTGTAAACTATTTTGTTGCATAAATTCCACACGAGTGCAATCATATGGTATTTGTCTTTCTCTCACTGACTTACGTCATATAGCATAATACCCTCTAGATCCATCTGTGTTGTTGCAAATGGCAAGAGTTCATTCTTTTTTATGGCTGAGTAATATTCCTGTTTGCAATCCCACCAACAGTGCAACAGGGTTCCTTTTTCCCCACATCCTCAGTTATTTTAGCCATTTTTTGGGTGTGACATGATGCCTCATTTTGGTTTTAATTTTTATTTCCCTGATGATGAGTGATACGGAACATCTTTTCATGTGTCTGTTGGCAATGTATATGTCTTCTTTGGAAAAATACCTCTTTGTCATCTCATTTTAATCAGATTATTTGTTTTTTGGGGGTGGTGGTATTGCGTTGTCTAAGTTCTTTATATGTCTTGGATATTAATCCCGTTTCAGATACATTATTTGCAATTATCTTCTTACGCTTGGTAGATTGTCTTTTTGTTGATGGTTTCCTTTGCTGTGCAAAACCTTTTTATTTTGGTGTAGTTCCAATGCTTGCATTTTGCTTTTGTTTCCCTCACCAAAGGAGACTCAAGTGTTTCTACAGCAGACGTCTAAGACATTACTGCCTATGTTTCTTCCAGGAATTTTATCGTTTTGGATCTCACATTTAGGTCTTTAATCCATTTTCAGTTTGTTTCTGTATATGGTATAAGAAAATGATCCAGTTTCATTCTTTTGCATGTAGCTGTTGAGTTTTCCCAGTACCATTTGTTGAAGAGACAGTCTTTTTCCCATTGCATACTCTTGCCTCCTTTGTTGAAGATTAATTGACCATATAATTATGGGCTTATTTCTGTGCTCTCTGTTCTGTTCCACTGATTTATGTGTCTGTTGTTGTGCCAGTGCCATACTGTCTTAATTACTACAAAAAAGCAAACACTTATGAAATGCCTTTTGCTGCCTCTGTTGGTGTGACATTTTGTAAGGGTTTTTTATAATGCAAATGTGATACATTAACAGAATGATACCTGTTATTAGAATGTGATTAATTATTCTATGTGGTATGTATAGCTATGTCTATATATTATACACGTTATATCACTTTTTTTATCAAATCGATTTTTAATGGATTGCAAAAGTGCATCTAGTGTTGGAATATTGAATATGTCATGTGTTTGTGTATTCTGAGATTTAGTGTGTGTTCTTTAATTCATTGTTTTATTTACCTGTATTTGCATGAAGCAGTTACTTGCATTATTATTACAAGTATGTCTTTCTAATTTTTAGGTTGTGGAAAACGCCCTTAAAGTGAACCCAGTATTAGGTCCACAGATGTTTCAACCAATTCTACCCTGTGTTTTCAGAGGTATTATAGAAGGAGAGGTAAGATTTTCCTTAAGCTTCTAAGAGTAGTAGTATTGGACTCTAGGATTCTGCTTTTTTTCTTTAAGTTTTATGTATGTATGTATGTATGTATGCATTTATGTGTGTGTGTGTGTGTGTGAGAGAGAGAGAGAGAGAGAGAGAGAGAGAGAGAGCATGAGTGGGGGAGGGGCAGAGACAGAGGGAGAGAAAGAGACTCTCCAGCAGGCTCCACACTGCCAGCACAGAGCCTGACGTGGGGCTCAAGCCCACGGAGCTGCAAGATCATGATCTGAGCCAAAACCAAGAGTCGGATGCTTAACTGCCTGAGCCATCTACTTTTATTTTCCTTCTTCGTTGGAAAAATACTTTTTCTTTATTATTACAGATAAACAGAGACCTTTTCTTATAATTGGAGTGTTTTGAAGTATATCAAGTAATTTTCAGGGTAGTTATCCAACTTTGCATTTTCCTTCTCCACAAAGTATAGCTTTTTTTTTTTTAAACGTATGTCTCTTATTCATATGCATGTGTATTCATCCACAAAGATTTGAAATAGAGGAATGGAAAAGAACAGTGCTAGTTGTAGCACTTATTAAATATATGCAAATAATGCTTCTTTTTTTGAAGTCACTCTTTTAAGTTGATCCATGTAACTATGTACTTTTGGAGTATTCACAGTAGTAGGAATAAATAAGCCATCGGTAAATATTCTTTCTGTGTATCTGTTTATAATCCATGTAACATATATGTAACACATTTATTTGACCTTGTATGACATATATTTAGTAAGTTACTTCAAACTCAGATAATACTGGCACTTTATCCTAAAGAAGGGATTTTGATGTAGAATGGTATCGTATATCCCTGTTGACTGTTACTGTGTCCGTAATTGTTCTTATTTATACTCCTACCTAATTTTGGCTCCTACCTATACTCCTGACATAATTTTATGTGTGCTGTCATTTATTTTTACAGAGGTATCCTGTCGTGATGTCAACATATCTTGGCGTTATGGGTCGAGTCCTGCTACAAAATACTAGTTTTTTTTCTTCGCTTCTTAATGAGATGGCACATAAATTTAATCAAGAGGTAAGAATCAGTTTAGTTAAATTAAAGAAATGCAGTCTTTATTCAAATAAGGATTGGAAATAATTTGGTGGAATAATTCTATAAAAGTCTTGTAGTATTTAAAAGTTTATATTTAAAATTTTTAATAACTTACATTATACCTGTAATTTTGAAGAAAGAAAAAGGAATCTGTGAATGGCAACTGAAATTTACCCTTGTTCTCTTCATAATAGGCACTTGTATTCTGCTTAGCCATAGGACGGAATTTTGGTTTGTTTATGGTTGCAGTTTTTATTTATTCATACTTGAAGCAGAAATACTTGACATAAAATTATTTGCTGTCTTGCAATGTCATGCAGTGAGTTTCCTTCGTAATTATTGTGGGAAATAAGGTTATCAGCAAAAGCTTACTAAAAAAATACTGTAACTGAAACCAGCCACCAGGGCAAGTATGGAATAAGGTTCTTAAGTGAGTTGGTTACTTGAGACTATATACATTATGTTAAAATATGGTTTTTGTGTTTTAGGTCCTTAATCTTTTCACATTTGTAAGATCCAGAAGGTGGAAAAGTACTTGAACGATGTCTTTAGAATGGAGGCAATTTGTAAAATCTCTGTGAAACAAAACAAAGAATAACAGATGTGTTATTTCCACTTAAAGGAAATCTAGATCAAGGAAGTGCAAATTTGAGAATGTATATGGCTTTTCTAGAATTTCATTTAGATATTATCACTAGATAATATCTAAATATCGTTAGAACTCCTAGCCTTTGTTTAGATGAATAGATATGTAAGATTTTTCATTACCTTCATTAAATTTAGCTGTGATGGGATAATATTAAAACAGTTAAAGGAGTTTATTTAGTTCAGTTTAGCAAAATTTGTTGAGTGATTTTTAAAATAACAGTATTTTAACAACAATATAAGTGTCATGTATTATATTAAATCCTTACAACAACCTACTGAAATAATAGTATTTTTATTTCCATCTCTCATATAAGAAATCCGAGGCTTCCATAAATTTACGAGCTTGCCTAATTTTACACAGCTAGTAAGTGATGGAGTTTCTGTGTATATTCCAGCTAACCTATCTTTGGAGCCTCGTGTCTCAATGAACACTCTACACTGCCTCCTATCCATCCTGGATCAGACACTTGTACACTACACACTGGAGACATTTGTTTTGACAAGCTTAGAGTAATCTTAAGGGAGAGAATACTTAAATGGGTAATTTCACAGTAATCGTATGAGCACTATGTTAGAGATGTGTTCATTGTGCTGTGAGAAGAGAGCTGTCTCCTATGTTACATTTTTTTCCTTTTTTGTGTGTGATAAAACACATAATAAAATTTACCTTCAGTGATTTTTAAGTGTATCGTTCAGTGGTATTAAATATATTCATAATGTTGTACAGTCATCAGCACCATCCATCTTTATAACTCTTCCAGTCTTATAAAACTTCAACCTCTACACCCGTTAAACCATAACTCTCCTAGCTGCTGGCAACCACCATTACACTTTCTATGCCTGTGATTTTGACTACTCTTAAGTACCTCATGTAAATGGAATCATAAAGTATTTGCCTTTTTGTGACTAACTTACATTACTGACATAATTTCCTTGTTGTAACATAGGTCAGATTTTACTTTCTTTTTAAGGCCGAAAGATATTCCAATGTATGTATATGCCACATTTTGCTTCTCTGTTCATGCTTGGGTTACTTCCACAATTTAGCTACTGTGAATAAAGCTACTATGAACATGGCTTTACACTTACCTCTCGAAGTCACTGTTGTCACTTCTTTTGGATTGGTATCCTGAAGTGGAATCCCCGGGTCATATGGTAATTCTATTTTTAATTTTGCAAGGAAGCACCATACTCTTTTCCCCAGCAGCTGTGCCATTTCAAATTCCTGCCCACCGTGCACAAGGGTTCCAGTGTTTGCCACCACTTGTTGTTTCTGTTTTGTTGTTGTTGTTGTTTTGAGAGTGTTCACCTTAATGTGTGTGAGGTGGTATCTCCGTGTGTTTGTGAATGAATAGTGATGTAGACTGATGAATAGTGATGTGGACTGTCTCTTCATATGCTCATTGCCCATTTGTGTTTTTCTTCTTTGAAGAAATGTCTAGTCAAGTTCTTTGCCCTTCATTCAATCAGATTGTGTTTTGTTGTTGAGTTTGAGGAATTATTTATATGTTCTAGATACTAATTCCTAGATATTATGTGTTCTAGATATTAATTCCAGATAAATGATTTGCAAATATTTTATCCTGTTCTGTGGGTTGCCTTGTTCCTTTGCTGATACTTTTGCTACACAAGATTTTTTAGTTTTCAAGAAGTCCAGTTTGCCTTTCTTTTCCTTTTATTGCCTATGCCTTTCTGCCATATTCGAGAAATCATTGTCAAATCCAACGTGGGGAAGCTTTTTTACTGTGTTTTTTGTTTTGTTTTGTTTTGTTTT